TTTAATGGAATAGTAAGGAGCCTTTATCTTATTACTCTATCTTACATTTTATGATACAGGGCTTCCCTGTAGCTTTGACTGGCATTAAACTTGGTGTATAGATTGAGCATTCCTCAAACTTCCAGTGCTGGGATTGCCAGCATACTTTACTAGGCCTGGCTTGTATTTTAAATTGTTTTTATTTTTGAATGTTCTTTTTACTTTTCAAAATGTATTCTTAGAGACTTTCATATAATGATACGTCATATCCATCCTTCATCATCCCTTGTATTCCCTCCAAATACTCAAAATGCCTTACTCTCAACTACATGTACCTATCTTTCTTTTTTATTCCTCTTTTTCTTTCTTCTTCTTTTTTTTTTACTTTTATTGATTCTTTGTGGATTTCACATCATGCATCCCAAACCTGCCGATCTCCCTGTCCCCCTATCTGCCCTCTGACCCTGCAACTGACCCTGCAACTGCCCCCGAAATGAAACAAAATTTTAAATTAGAAAGACTGAAAACCAAACAAGCAGAAACAAAAACAAAACAACAAAAAAGCAAATCAAAATAAAAAATAAAAAAAGAATAATCTTGTTGTGGAAGCTGTAGTGTGGCCCAGTGAGTCACACAGTTCACCCTTTAGTCCTTTCTTCTTCACTGCAAGTGTTCACTGCCATGAGCCATTGGTCTGATTCTAGGCCTCTGTGTCTGCTACACCATGTTTAATGGGCCCCTTCTGGGACTCTTCTTGGGTATCCTGCCTCGTGGGGATCCTGCAGTTTTAGATCTGTACATTAATCCCCTTCACCTGGTTCCACAGTTCATATTCACTGGATATTGGAGTGAACCAACTCACAGCCCTGATTCTGGCCTGGGTGGTAGCTGGGCTGGTCAGCCCACCCAGTGCAGCCTGCAGCAAGGAGCAGGGCCAGTTCTCTTGCTCTCAGGCCCTCACACCCGCCAAGGCCAGCTCCACTGTCTTGCCCAGACAAGGTGCAGCCCACCCCCCTCTCTCTTGCTCTCCTTGCTCTCATGCTTTCATGCCCCCAGGACTGGTTCACCTGTATCTCCCTCCAACAGTGTTGGCTCTAGTGTGCTGTCCTGGCAGGGTGCAGGGTCTGCTGTCTGTGTTGCAGCTGGTGAGGGACAAGGCTACTTTTCCACTCTCCTAAACTAGAGAGTGCTCTCTCACCTGCCGCAGGTAGCATGGGGTGGCGCAGAGAGGGCATCTTTTCCTTACCCATGCCACACATGGCAGATTAAGAAGGGTGTCAGCTCTGCTGTCCTCATGCCCTCAAGGCTGACTCACCTTGCTTCCGCTACAACAGGGTCAGTTCTACTCTGTTGTCCAGGTGAGGTACATGCCCATGGTGAGGGGTGGGACCATCATTCCTAATTGTGTGTGGGGGGCAGCACTCTTGCTGCAGTATCCAGTGAGGGGCAGATCAGCTCAGAAGACCCTTGGACTTCAAACAAAAACTTGATTCCAACCCACCCCCTCACACCTCTCCTATGGTAACACAGGCTATGGACATCAACACAGACCCCAGCTGGAGCAGGACCACAGATCTAGACATGGCTCTCGGCAGCAGCTAGGACCCAGATGTCACCATCGCCCTGGAGCATCATGGCCCTTAGATACCAACCTGGTCTCAGGTGGCTGACCAGACCCTGTGCATTCTCATAATCCTTGTCAGTAATGGGTGCCATGGACATCAACTCAGACACTGGGAGCTGTAGAGCCACAGCAGCAGTCATGGCCCAGATGACACCATATGCACAGATGACAGTTTAAGCTACTCAGATCAGAATGGTCCTTGAAGGAGCACAGCCTCCAGACATCTGTCACATGACCACAGGTTGTGGCCCAGACCCCCACACATCCCTGTGGACTCTAGTGGCAACATGGGCCATGGATATCAACACAGCCCCTGGCTGTTGCAGGGCCATGGACGCAGACATGATCCTAGGCCATAGTTTGTGATCAGATGTCATCATGTCCCCAGGTAGTAGCACAGATCACTAAGTTCAGTAGGGTAGCCCTCAGACATCAGTGTGGCCCCAGGTGCCTCCCAGATCCCTGGCGTTGGGTCGCCCTTCAATGGCATCAGGAAGCATGGACATTAACTCAGACCCTGAATGCTGTAGGACCACAGACCCACATATGGCCCTCAGCAGCAGCTTAAACCAGTATGTCATCATGGCCCCAGGTGGCAGTATAGGTCAGTAAGTTGGCTCGACCCTGGGCAGCAGGCTCTAGTTGGTGGTCCGGACTACAGACTTCTGCTTGCCCTTAGTGGCAATAGGAGCCACAGACATCACCTTATACTCCCTCAGCTGCTTCAGTGCCTCTGATCAAAATAAGTGGCTTTTAGACATAAAGCAGAGAAAAACCAGCCTACAACCCATAACCGCTGAGAAACTAGACAACAAAGAGAACCCTAGAGAAGTACATACGTAGATCTAAATAGGAAGGAGAAAAAGATAAGATCTAAGTAATTTGGAAGCATGGGGATCACAGGACAGGGTAGAAGGGGAAAGAAGAGGAATATAGGGGAGTGGAGAAAAGTGTATAGTGCAATAAAAACAATAAAGAAAAAAAAGATTGCATCTGGACAGTAGCCCAGGTCTGGAAATGACCCTGGACTCAGGTGGCTGCTAGGCCATTCACGTTAGCCTCTTCCTCACCACTCTCACCTCTTCAAAACTTGCCTCTCTCTGCAACCGTTACTGACTCTACCTCTCTCTCTTCCACCTCTGCACCCTGTGCCTGCTCACCACAGTGGTGTCTGACTGCCTGGCACCATAGGTACTGGGCAGCACTTGGTTGAGACATGCCCCTGCCAGCCTCATGGTATGGTGCAGAGCTGTTACTGTGTCACTGCCTGGGTCTAGAATAGCTGGGCAGTTCCTAATTGAGTCCTGACCCTGCTAGCCACATGGCATTGCAGGCTCTTTCTTTCTTAGTATCTTACTAAGTCTACTTAATGCTGCCCATATGTGCAAGAGGGTGAGACTATCTACTGTAGTATGGACAACCTACCAGCAGACAACACCCTGTAATGACGTTTGTTCATTTTAAGTTTGCAGTTGAGGTAGTTAATACCTATAATTTGTTGAGTTCTTCACTATATGTAGGAACTGTGTGTATTTAATCCCAGAATTATAAACAAACATTAATATACCCATTTTACAGATGAATCAGCTAAAACTCAAAAAGGTTAAAAATTACCTAAACCCATAAGCTAGTAGGGAAAGTTAGTATTAAATTTAGATCTTTACTGTGGGACAATGGTCTTATAACCTGTAAAGATTTGTCACTTGTGTTGGTTTATCAAAATGGTGATTGGTCAGTAGCCAGGCAAAAAGTATAGACAAGGCACCCAGAATAGGAGAATTCCAGGAAGAGGAAAGGCTCAGTCTGCAGTCATCACACAGATGCAGAGGAAGCAAGATGAGAATGCCTCACTGATAAAAGGTACCAAGCCATGTGGCTAACACAGATAAGAATTATGGGTTAATTTAAGATGTGAGAGTTAGTTAATAAGAAGCCTGAGCTAATAGGCCAACCAGTTTATAATTAATGTAGACCTCTGTATTTCTTTGGGACTGAACAGCTGTGGAACCAGGCAGGACAGAAACTTCTGACAGATCTTTTTTTTTTTTTTGTAAAATTAATTTGTTTATTTTACATCCCATCCACAGTTTCCTCTCCCCCTGTCCTCTTCCCCCATTTCTCCCTCACCATGCTTCCCAATACATTCTCCCTCTGTTTCTTTTCAGAAAGGGGCCAGCCTCCCATGGCTATCAACAAGGCATGGCATGTCAAGTTGCTTTAGGACTAAGCTCTTCCCCTTGTATTAAGGCTGGACAAAGCAACCCAATATGAGGAGTGGGCTCCCAAAACCCAGCCAAAGCCTTAAGGACAGTCCCTGCTCCCACTGCTAATAGTCCCACAAGTAGACCATGCTACACAGCTGTCACACATATGTCACACAGACCTAGGTTGGTCCCATGCAGACTCCTTGGTTGTTGGTCCAGAACGTGGAAGCCGCTATGAGCCTAGTTTAGTTGTTTCTGTAGGCTTCCTTGTGATGTCCTTAGCCCATCTGGATTGTACAATCCTTCCTCCTTCTCTTGAGCAGGATTCTCCAAGCTCAGCCAAATATTTGGCTGTAGGTCTCTGCATCTGTTCCCATTAGTTACTGGATGAAAGCTCTCAGATGACAACTGGGGTAGTCACCAATCTGTGAGCATAGCAGAATCTCATCAGGCATTGTTAGGTTGATATTTTTTCTCTAATTGTGTTTGGTTCTATCCTAGGTCTCTGGTCCGTGCAGTCTCTGGGTCCTGGTGCTCCAGGCATAAACTTAAATCTTGCTGCTGTATATTATATTCCTTTAACTTGCATACAATACCAAGTATCTTAGTTTGGGTTTTATTGCTGCAAAACGACACTATGACCACAGTAACTCTTCTAAACTCTTGTAAAGCAAACATTTAATTGAGATGGCTTGCTTATAGTTTCAGAGGTGGACAGTTTAGTCCACTGTCATCATCATGGGGAGCATGGCAACATGCAGGCCAATAGGGTGCTGGAGCTGAAAGTCCTACGTCAGACTCAGAGGCAACAGGAAGTTGACTGACTGTCACACTGAGTGAAGCTTGAGAAAAGAGTTCTCAAAGCCCATCCCCACAGTGACACACTTCCTCCCTCCAACAAAGCCACACCTCCTAATAGTGTCACTCCCTTTAGGGGCCATTTTCTTTCAAACCACCACACCAAGTAGTACATAAACCAGAAAATTCTAGGGTGACACCTGGAACATAACCATATGTGTGTACTAACTGGAAAGTTTTTTCTCTCAAGTCAAAAGATAATAAATGTAACTCAGTAATTCCAGAGGTGTTTGTTCATGTGATCGTGATAGCAATCTGAGGATACTTTCTCCAGCACTTGAGTACTTGAGTTACTTCGAGTTTAACTTTAATTGTTTTGTTTATGCTTTTTCTAGGTTTGAGCGGCCGTTTCTTTGTTACCACTCTCCCAGCCTTTTTTCAGTAAGCTTTATTAATTTATGATCTTAAAATATTAGAATTCAGCACTGTAGGAGAACAGGTCAAGTAGGTGGTGGTGAACCATGCTAATGAGAGATGAAGGGAAAATGGCAGAACAAGGTTCCATCATCATAATGCTTGGGAGCCATTCAGGATACAGGCCAGGCAGGTTCCATGGAGTCATGGGAACAGGACTCCCAGTTTCACTCAGTAGTATGAGGAGAACAAAAGGGAATGCGTAGACTCTTCTTGTGACTCCTGTCTGGGACGAGAAGCTGAGAAAAGGAAGGCTTAGAAGTGAATGTGAGATGCATGCTTTGATCTTGATCGTGAGCTTAGAGACTTGGAGGACATAAATTTGGGAATGTGGATGTATTATTTGTTAATGTTACAACAGTGGCTATTTTGCTAGAAGAAATAAGAATAATTGGTTGCAAATGTGCTAGCAAATGAGTTGGCTGATTAAATATTTCTGGAGATTTAGCCTACAGTTGCAGATTACATAGTAGTGAAAGTGAATATTCAATGGTTTGAGTTTCAGAATTTCTCATTTGTGCTAGATTAGAATTAACACATGCCTTCTGGTTTTTGTCTGGCTATAGGGTTTTTTTTTGTTTTTTTTTTTCATTTGAGCTAATTTATATTTCAAGAAGAGTTTATGTGTGTGATCAATAATTATTTTGATTATTATTATAGAATACCTATTTTGATTTATCTAATTTCTGCCTGATTTTATAATCTATAGTGCAAAAGATGGGATATTCCGCCGTTACCGTGGCCCAGGAATCTATGAAGACTTACAGAATTACATCTTAGAGAAAAAATGGCAGTCAGTTGAGCCTCTGACTGGGTGGAAATCACCAGCTTCTCTAACGTAAGTTATAAATAAAGTGCTCTTTGTAAAATAATAAGTCCCATGTTAATGTGTAGACCTTACAAGTCTAGACTTTTCTTCATATTTTTTTCTCTAATTTAGTCTGAATATGCCTATTCTTGGTCCACCTAGTGTTTCTGGTTTTGTGACCCACATATACTGCAAATTGTTTTGGTGTATTGGGTGTTGAGCAGCTGGATTGAAGGGATGTGTTAACAGAGAACCTTTCCTCCAACTTTCACTGCCTGCCATGCCAACTGTTTCCTCTTTACAAATGTGGTGTTGAGTGCTGGTTTCCATTAACTGGAAGGGCAAGTGTTTCTTGAATTATAGGACCCTTGGGGATTCTTGTGTTCTGGTGATCATAGTATCTGGTACTTCTTTTCTGGGGATAATTTTTGATAATATTTAGTAGGTAAATAAGACTGAACTGTAATAACTCATTCCACATTTGTCTTTAATTTTGAGTGGGCATATTAGTAAGTAGTTTTATTTTGCATATACAGAGGTAAGGAATATCCTTAATGTCATAGAAGCAATGTAATATAATATTTCATCTATCGTATGCACCTGTGTTAGTGCCCAGGCAATATGGAGCTTATCCTAAAAGTAGCTCACCTCTGGCATTTCATTCTTCAAATAACTGAATACTGAGTTTTATGCTAAATACTGTTTTAGGAGCCAGGTATTTGTGACTTCGTTAGACTAACTTGCTTTTTACACTCCCTTTTTTAGATAACATAAAGTTAGTAAGACAAATTGCAAAACAAGCTAGACAGATCATTTGGATGGAGCTGTTCAAAACAACAGTCTGTTTTCTTATACTAGCCTGGAAAATTTTGAGTCTTGGGGCCTACCTTGAAGAAGAGTTAAGAGAGATTGCTCTGAAGGGAGCTCTGGGGTGGGATTCTCAGGATACAAGAAGCTGTGGCCCAGACAGGAGAAGGACTAGCATAGTCCTAGAGTGACTGTAGGCTACCCAGAAGTCTCCATTAGGGAAAGGGCTTTATCGAGTACTTGAGGAGCAGCATAGTGGCGAGTGCAGCACTGTGAACGAAAGGAAGAGAGCCTGAGTTGAGTAGAAGAGAGGCTGAAGGTGGACTATACAGGACCTGGGGCCACAGTCAGGAAGGGGTTTTTCTTTTCTTTTATATGTATGTACAAAAATAAATTAACTCTTAAGAGGAGATATTGGAGAGGACAAGACTACGTAAGGAGAAAACAATTAGAAAGTTTTCACAGTGTCCAGCTTAAAAAGAGGAACTTGTACCAGGGTGTTGTGGTGAAGACAGAAAATGAGTAGGTTTAAAGTTGGAATTGAAGATAAAATTGGTCAACATGAGAGGAAACATTTACAAGAAAAAGATCTCTGGGAGTCCTGTTGAATTTTTCGTGGACCTTACTATTTCCCACATCAAGATTCTGCTATACAATTAACTCTCCCCTCCCAAAAGACAATCCCCCCCCAAAAAATACCAACAACGACAAAAAAAAAAAAAAATAAAGAGGCCATAAATTTCAGAGGAAATAAGGGTGGCGTTGTGTAAGCAGAGTCTGTTCTTTCATTTTCCGGCCTCCCAGACCTGAATAATCACATTGAAACCATATTAATTACAACACTGTTTGACTAGTGGCTTAGGCATATTCTTAACTAACTCTTATATCTTAAATTAACTCATTTCTATTAATCTGTGTAACACCACGAGGCTGTGACCTACCGATAAGGTTCAGGCATCTTTCTCCTTTATTAGCTACATGGTGTCTCCTTGACTCGCCCTACTCTATCTATATATCTAAGTTTGGATTTCCTGCCTGACTTTATTCTGCTAAGTCATTGAGCAAAACAGCTTTATTATTTAACCAATAAAAGCAAAAAATATATAGAAGAACATCCCACATCAGCATTGTATGGATTGTAGGAAAGGAAAGGGGAAGGTGATACAAATAGATTTTAATTAAAATATTATAAAGAAGAAACTGCAAGATATCTTAGGGATATTAAAACCAAGATCATGGTTTTTAGTCAACATTCTTATAGCATGGAGGGGAAGGTATTCCTGAGCCCCCACGCCTACTGAGCTATGATGCTGCTGGACTCCTTTGCTGAAAGAGTCAGTTTTTCTTCCTTAAGGGTGTGACTCCTGGTGTGTCAAACATACTCTAGTGGATGTCCCCACACCCGGCAGTGTATGACTGGCACAAATTGTAGTAGATGGGTCATTAAAAAAAAAAGAAGAAAGAAAGAGACATGAAGCAAAGGGCAGTAGGAAGGTGGAGATGGATCTAGTAAGAATTGTGGGTGCATATGGTCAAAATTTATTGTGTGAAATTCTCAAAGAATTAATAAAAATATTCAAAAGGAAGAAGAAAAAGATTGTTAGCCTTGCTAGAGGTCGAGACTTTGTAAAGCTATTAAGCTGAGTGTGTGTGATGGTTCCCAGTAGAGAATTAATGAACACAATTGTAGAAGACTTTGACAGACTTTAAAACCTTGGAATTTTACTTAGGAAATAAAACAGAAGTGTGCTTCTCATAAATCTAGGACTCACTCAAAGTTAACAAGTTAAGTACTAAGCAAGTCATCAAAAGAAAAATTGAGGACCCATGAAATAACACAGGAGATAAAGATACATGACCCTAAAGTTTGATGACCTGAGTTTGATCGCTGGGTCCCATGTAGTGGAAGGAGAACATCAACTCCAGCAAGTTTGCCTATGACTACTGGATGAAGCCCACCTGTGTATTTATACAACACACAGTAAATGCATGTAATTAAAATTAAAAAAGGAAATTGAAAAATTAGTGCCAGTGAGGCAGAAGGAAAATCAAGGGTAAAACGTTTTTTAGAACCAAATAAAAAGATGCCAAAGAAAGAAATAATAGTTACTTATGTCCCATGATACCAGGAGGCAAAGAAAGATCTCTGACTGGGACATAGAATGCAGCAGGGTGACATTGTTATGACCTTTGCAAATCGTGGTTAGCCAGATTTAAATGGTTTCAAGACATACCACTGAAGAAATTATAAGAGAGGACTGCTCTTTAGAGAATTTTTTTCTGAAGCTTGAGGGTCACGTGAGGGACAGAGTTACTCAGTTCAGAAGATGGACGTGAGTGTGACATCATGCTGAAGAGACCGACTGGGTAGAGGTAGAGTGATTGCTAATGCAGGAAGAAGGAATAGCAGAAAGAATCATGTCATCAACAGGACACAGGATTCAGATCCAAGTCACAGATTGAAGAATTGGCCTGTGTTAGGTCAGGTAGAGTTTGCTGTTGATACAAAGGTGATATGGAATACCTCAGTCTCAAATTTGGTGATAGGAAGATGAGAGTGATCACACAATGGCTTCTGATTTCACTGTGATGGGCAAGGAGTGCTTGTTGAGGGAGGATGTGTAGGATTGAAAGGAAGGAAAAAGCAGATGAGCAATTATGGCATTTACATCTGGAAAGATATATTGGACAGTGTTGAGTGTTCACTTTTCAAAGTCACCAGGATATGTTGTCTTTTTACAGATATAATTTGTTCATGATTGTGGATTTTTGTACTATAAAGGATAAGGGGCCAAGGATTTGGAATGTGTTTACAGTTTACAGCAGAATAGTTCAGAAAATGACCATGAAATCTTATTTTTGAGAATTGAAGTTTTGATGAGTACAGGCTCAGTGAAGGTATATTGCTTAGCCTGAGCTTTGCTTGGTTTTGACAGTGTGTGACTACAATTCTCTTTCTTAGGATGTCTGGAATGGCTGGTCTTTTCAGCATCTCTGGCAAGATTTGGGTGAGTACTTTTAAACTATATTATATTTGAAGATAGATTTTTTTAAAGAATGTAAAAATAGCTTTTAAATATAGGAAAATGAAAAATTTTAAGTACTTTTTATAATTCTGTTTTTAAGCAATAAAACTACTCTCATTTTTGGTTCATCATAGTAAAATGTGTTTATAGGAAGGCATAATTTGAAGCGGTTACCATAGCAGCTGTGTCAGAGTCATAGTTTTATTAGATTGGTGATTAAGTCCTTATAAAAGGAAAAAAGATTATGAGATGTGGTTTTATGTTATCTCATTGTTCACTTGGAAAATCTCTTTATAGATCAAAGATTGTCTAGGCAGGCATGAAAGTCATTCTGTGTGTCTGAAACAGCAACGTATGGCTTGAGAGAAGCTTGGTTTTGTAAACAAAGCTCTCTTTGAGCAGCCATGCTTATAGTGTCTGCTGTTTCTTGATAAGGTTGCTCTGCAGTGATGGAGTTGTGTGGCTGTCACAGAAACCAGGGGTTGTGCCCACCAGTTAAAGCACTCCCTGTTATGTGTGCTTATAGAGTGACACGTAGTCACTTCAGTGTTAGAACACTTACTTAGGCCAAATGTTTAATTATATATTAGTTTTTAATATATCATTAGTTTTTAATATGTTTATTTCTGTCACTTCTCTGTAGGAGCTTAATACCATAGATTGATCTTGTATTGTGTTTGAATTGCTTGCTTCCTGGTTCTAAATAACACAATGCTTTAAACTTACTGTTTATTTTTGAACTAATGCTGAAAATAGAAGACTTAAGATAAAATTCTGTAGCAGTTCGTGTGTGTGTGTGTGTGTGTGTGTGTGTGTGTGTGTGTGTGTGTGAACGCGCGCGCTATTTGTGTATATGATTTCTTGTGACCTAGATGGGGACATCTTTTCTCTCATCTTTTCTTCTGTTTACTACAGTATTAAGAAATGTTCATAGCAAGTTATAGTGAGATGAAGTACAACCACAAGGTCCCTTCTTGAAGCCTACAGGAGCCTGTTAGATTAAGTCTTGTAGATATTCAGAGACAGACTGACTATAAAGGGGGACAAGAAGCCTTGGCTACCACTGAAGAAGCCTTGCTGGCTGTTCCCATGCAAGAAATATATTATGGGGATTCTGGAATGGGTGTGAAAGGGATCATGGGCTTGTTCCTGAACTCAAGAGTATACCTCCTCTGATACAGGTGAGCTCCAAAACCTAGTCTGTCCTTCAGAACTACTGCAGCTTTGACTGAGACAGTGTAGTACTGGCTGCAGCAGTTCAGATGTCTAGAGTTCATGGAGGACTTGATCTGACCACTTATAGAAATAACCTTATGTCTTTAATAATCATTTTATTTAGTCCCTTCATGCAAATCTATATGTAGCAAAAAAAAAAGCTGTAACTGAATCATCTGGCAAAGTACTTAATAGTATATGATGTTTAGGATAACCGGCATCAGCATCATTAGAATATCAATTTTAAAATACTTTCATTAAAATAGAGTAGGATACTTTTATGTAATGAAAGCAGATAACATTGAACAAGTATCAGTATTTTGGCCCGAGGAAACATGATTAAGGAAACAGAAACATAAAAATGTAAAGCTAAACTTTATTTCTTATAATTGACTACATATATAACTTTATAATACCACAATTGCAATCATTCATAAATGTTTCTAAAGCCATTGTGAACTCATAGTAAGCAGATGGAATTTTATATCTGTAATTGTAAAAACAATTGTATTAATTTTAGTCCTTAATAATAATTAATTATTTAGTCATTAGTCTTCAGTAATAATTAATTACCTAAGAAAACCATAGTGTTGTAGAATTTCTTTTCAAATAGATCCCTTGAAGGATAAGCTGATATAAGAAACTTGAAGTAAAACTTACTAAAATAAGATAATGCTTTTAAATACTAAAATTTTGAACCAAAAAGCAATGATTCAGAGGCAAATAGCTTTTTTGTATTTTAACAACTCACTTAGAAATTAAGTGTTTTAATCATTTGTTTTGGAGAAAAGATGTATGACGCTGTGCAGAAGAGCTTAAACTTCACATTATTCATCTACAGTTTGTTCATTCCAGCCTCATGAGTAAGGTAAAGCAGCAGGTATTCATAAAGCAAGTTCAAAAATACTTCCATGAGTCAGCCCAGACACTGAGTGACCTTTAGTGTTCTCTGTCTCTTTGGCATACTTCAAGGCATAAGCCCAGTAATGACAATGAGTCATCAAACAAAGCATAAACTGTTCCATACACATTTTTCACCTAAAACCAGAGCTGAATAATACCTCTTAAAACTTTAGAGTTGGGAGCCACCTTCCAAAACAACTTCAGGAAGGAAGGATTTACTTCAGTTCACAGTTCCACTGTGGGGTAGGCTGGCATCTCAGACTCTAGCTGTGATTGTGGGGCTTTCCATTGTAGAGGGGAGGAGAGAGACTGATATAACAAGCTGGGAGATAGTAGGTCTGGGTACAGGAGCTACTGTGGGAGAGGAATAACTAACATTAAAGACCTTTTGAAAAAAGCCTTATGAAAGCCTAATATGGGAACATTCTAAAATATATGCTTATACATATGAAAAAAGAGTTTAAATGAAGTTATTTACCCTAGAAGAGGAATACAGTAATTCCCTAATAAATTTGTGAACAAAGAAAAACCCCAGTTACCTCCTTTTGCTTTTAGCTAGTGGGATCCCATAGACCTACAACATACATGCTATTGCCATTGCTCTTGGTTACTCTCGAGAACTTGATGATAGCAGTATACTGCTGAAAACACCACAGGCGTGAGTCACAAAGCATGGAGAATTCAAATGGCTACAAACCTAGAAGTCTCATCTCTATTGGCTGGCTGTTATAATGCTGAAAGGTGATATACATGCCTCTGGAGGAGAAAATTCATCATCAGTCTTACCCAGCTGTATACTTTGTGAGCTACAATAGTGACTGTCCTGGTAATATATATCCTCTGGTGGAGTAGTGCCACCAGTGTTAAGAGAGTAACCAATCACTTACTGATTTGATTTAAGGCTTGCTGCTTGAGATGGACCCCATACTTAGAAGTGTTATTAGGGCCAGGAACCTGTGGATAGGCCAGTCATTGGCCCTAAGAGAAAACTTATTGTTTTTGTTCTGCTAAATGGACATAGTATTAAAATGACTCCTAATGATTTATTGCTATACCCAATATTAGTACATCTCTCAGCACTTAGGAGATAAGCTCCTTGCAGTGGATGGCAGTTAATACAAAGACTTACAACTGACAGTCAATGTGCAGAGAATAGAACGTTACAGAGTACTCAGCCCTAAATGGGACATTTCTAACATACCCCTCTCAGGGATCATTGAGGATGAGGGGCCCAAAAGATTGGAGAGGTAACAGTGATGTATGACTATAAGAAAACAATGTTTTCCAGACATATTAAGGAAATTACACATATGAACAGACAGTCCTCTGACTACATGCATAGTACTTGGGCAAGCTTCAGCCAGACAAAATCCCTGCATACAGGGTGAGGGGCTACATATTAAGGCAAGTACCAAACCCAAAATTATTTGGGCAACAAATTTTATCTTTTGTTTTTAAAAGAAAAATTGGTAAAAGAAATCAGGTTGGGTAGGTGGATAGATGAGGGTAGCGCTAAAAGGATTTGTGGGAGAGATGTTGAATATGCTCAAAATATATTGTATGAAATTTGCAAAGAATTATTAAAAATATTAGAGGAGGGAGTGTCAGAACTGAAGTCAGGCTCAAACTTTTAAACCCACCCTTTTGTGACCTACTTTCACCAACCGTGCCTCTTCCCTTGAAGTTTTACAGCCACTAAAAACAGTGCAGTCAAGTGTGTACCAAGCATTCATGCATGTGCCTGTGGGGGACATTTCTTATCCAAGCCATAATACTCTGCCTCTGGCGCCCATATGGCAAGAAGCATACAACCCCTACTTTAAAAGTCCTCATAGTTATAGTTCAATGATGTTCAGAATTATGTAGTCTCTTCTAAGACTCAGGGCAACCTCTTCACCATGAGCTGTAAAGTAAAAGAACATTTTTAGCATATGGCAAGACATTCCCTAAGTGGTAAAATAGTGGCATAGCAAGGAAAAGTTTGATTGAAGTGAGACAAATTCAGCAGAACAACCAACACACCTTGCAACTCTAGTTCCTGCATCTGGAACTTGTGCTGACATTATCTGGGCTCCAATACTGTGAACTCGGAGCTCACATAGTCTCTCTCTTGGGTTGGTCACTAGATGCCCACAGTTTCCTTAACTAAAGCCCCATATTTCTTACATCGTCAGCAATCCAGGATCTCTCTTGCCACTTAAATTTTACCTTCTTGGCTTTGCATAATAGCCTGTTAGGGCTTCCTTTGCAGAGAGATCGTACTATTTGGCCTCAGCAGCTTTCTGAGTTTTTGTGGTCTTTTTATGCTTTTGATATGCATGCCCATAAAACCAGTACAATGTGGATTTTGCTGCTAGGCTATATCAGCGAGAGATGGAGCCTAAGTGGTGAGGCTTTGAATTGTTGGATTGTTCTGGTCAGTAACAATTTTTTGTTTGTTTACATGTTTCTCATTCAGAACATGTCATGTCATATTTAATTTTTTAGCATAAACTAAAAATCTAATAGGAATAACTTAGATTTTTAAAAATATGAAATTAAAGTAGAAACTTGAACTCATTGTGTATATGTTGTGTGTGAGAGAGAAAGAGAAAGAGAGAGAAAGAGAGAGAGAGAGAGCGCGCACTTTGGGAAGATCATTCAGTAATTGTTTCTGTGGGCTCTAATGTATAACTTGTAGCCTTTTAATCTTGTGCCTAGTAATTGATTGGACTGTAGTTTGTAGTCTAAAACAATATGACTTATGAAGAAGTATGGACCCAGCAAGTCTGCCTCTAAATAGGCTTTAATTTGAAATGAATGGTTCATATCTGTAATTCACATATTGTTTAACATTAGGAAAAGTAAGTATGGAGACATTTTAAATAGTTCATACTCTAAGGCATAACTTTGATTTATATAAAAGTGATAATGGCCTAAGGGTTTCGTATTTTAATAAATCATGTTGGGATTCAATATGGAGGGACAGATAATGATTTGGCAAAGATAATTAGAAAACCTTCAATAATGGGAGAAAGAATTGACAAGGCAATTTGATCAGACCTCTATCAAGATCTTGAGCTCTAAAGAATAATTCTTACTGAATATGATTTTGATAATTACTCTATTTGTAATGCTATAAACATTGACTTCCACATTAGTAATTATTAAATATAAACTTTGGGTATATATGTGGAGAGATATTTTGTAGAGTGGAGTTACAGCTAGAAAATCCTGCACTGCAAGTAAGCGCTTCGTTTCCATTTTGATTACAGCACCTTCACAACTATTTCACAGTGACTCTTGGAATTCCTGCATGGTGTTCTTACGTCTTTTTCGTCATTGCTACTTTGGTGTTTGGCCTGTTCATGGGTCTGGTAAGATAATGCCAGTCTTTTTTTCTTTTCATTTAAACAAAGGATATCATATAAATTAAAAGGTGACCATGAAATGAAAAGCACATAAATAATCATTTTGTGTCATTTAAGCAGTGAATTTGCTTAGTGGTTGCAATGGTAATGTGTGTAATAGTGGGAAATGCATTATTATCCTCTGGTCTTTTCTCTAAAATATTCTGAAGATTAATGCTGCTGAGAATATGCACAGTGATCAATGAAAACTAAATGCCATACTTAAATGGGCAGTCATTTTCCATTCAAGACAGCGAAACTTGCTGTGATTTCACACAAAGATCCTTGCTTTGAGTATTGTGGTCAAGACAAACAATGGACCTAATGAGTTAAATAAAAGATAATTTTTCTTGTTTTTATCCTTCAGTTGAATATCTAATCCTGACCAGATTCTATAACCTCTTGTTCCCTGGGGTTGTTTTTTTGTTAGATAATATAAATAAGAAAAAAATTCAAAGTAAATCATTATGTCCTCTTTGGGCATGAAAGTTTGTATCCATATATCTTCTCTTTAGGTATTAGTGAAAGTTGCAAAAATACATTGACTTACTTAAATCCAGAAGTTGCCATTAATGCTTTGTGATTTTTTCTTGTAAATATTTTAAATGTTCACGAACATGTTGATTGCATATTAAACTTTAATTAAGATAATACACCTTTTGAAAAGTTTTGTTGGTTATTGATTATGTAGTTTCTAATTGTGAAACATCTAGATAAAAGTGTAGAGTTTTGATAAGTGTAGTTACATTTTCTAATGAAATTTGGCTTTCTAGGAAGGTCTTAAAAAATCTAAAATGGCTGGTGATTGATCTCATAGTTAAGTCACAACTTGGTGCAAGACAGTAACTCTAGAAAACTGAAGAGGCTTGACCTCTTTCATGGTTGTTCTTTAGCCACACTGGAGCTCATTTTTGAGTTTGACTTCTGATGTTAACTTGAGAAGTGGGTTGGAACATGGCTACCTATATGAATCATTATTTAGGCCCCATCTATGTTTTGTTTTATTAATACTATTCCTAACTAACATGGCCAATTTGTCCTGGTTTAACGGAATATGACTCTACAGAAATAGAATGTTAGTTCTGTGCATCCCCTGCCTTTTCTTTAGTACTATTTTTTCTTTCTTTTCTTTTTCATTTTTCTTTTTTAATCAAAGTGTTTGGAAACTACATGAGTATGGGCTCTTTCAGGGGAAACAGTATGAGAAAGATCCTAGGTGAATCGAAGGTGGGGACATTGGCAGTGTAGATGGGCATGGCAAAACCAGTGGAAACTCCTCAGCTGAGGTTTACAATTTCATGCTTGTGCATAGAGTTTGTTTGGAGAGTTAGATTGAAATAATACTTAGGAGGGTTATGAGACGCTTGTAGTGGCTTAGAAACTGACAATGGCCCTTGAAACGGAAAGCAGTCTTGAACTGAGAGTATCTTAATGAAAGGAATAGGCTTTCCTCCTAGTTTCTGTGGAAGAAGACATAATGGATTTGTGTACAACATAAACAGACCTTGATGATGGACTAGCACATAAACAATTTCATGGGTGATGGCGTGGGAAAGTAGTTAAGTGACCTGTCCAAGGCCACATAGCCAATGCTAGAAAAAGGCAAGACTGAACTGTGAGTCTCTTCTAGGCTGTGGTACCCAGTTAACCTTTCCATAGAGCCCAATACTGTTGTACATGTCACTTGCTCTCTCTGGAAGTTGTTGGAAATGCCAGGAACATTGGATTATTAAAATGTTCTACCTCGTGAAATTAAATAAAAATAAAGTCACAAAAGGTAGTAAACACATGACATTCACTTTAAAAATTTAATTTTCAAACTTGATCTTTCAGATGGAAATGTTTTCATCTTTGCTGTCTAAACCATTTAAACAGCTTGAGACTTATTTCTCAACCCATAAGTCTTTCCTTCACCCTCTTATGGATGCCATTGCCTGCAATTCCTGGTCCTCTATATATCCATAGATATTAGTAACCCCACTCAGAGAAACTAGATAAGCCAGGCAGCCATTTCCCATCATCTGCTGTGCCTAGGACCTTAGATCTTCCTCTGTCAAATGGAAGTCTGAACCCTACATTGAATGTAATCTCTTTATCTCTAAAGTATCAGAGTGCTTAGTTATGGTTCATATGAAACACTTCATCCGTATTTCTTTATAGTTGAACTGCTGCCCTCTTCAACATTTCTACCTTAGCTGTTAACATGGATCTTGAACCTAAGTTAAACAAATGAATATATGCATAGTTATAGTCTTGAATATACACTAAGATGCATTTGATTTTTAATGCAATCCAAAGGGGTATGGCTTCAACAATAAAAATTTCAAAGCCCCTGTAAAATACTAGTATAATAAAGTGCTATTTCTGTGTTTGAAATCTGGTCGCTTATTCAAAAAGAAGGCTTCCTATGTAGGTTAACTAACAAAAAGAGGAAATATGCAAGCAAACTATGCATGTGTGCCATGCCACTAATAGCAGTACCTGTATTCCTGTAGCCAGGAGGCTGGGAGAGAATTGCAAAGTCCAAGGCCAGTCAGGTAGAATGCCTGACGGACATCTACAAGAAGAATGAGAGTTGGGTGGTATAACCTGGTACATGGGTGACTTTTTCCAGGTGCATCTTTCTTCTGTTTGGTAACACAGAGCAGTGAAATGTTGTAGTTGGAGAGTCTGGTTCCATGTAACTCTATACTTCTGGGCACAAGCCAGCAGTTTCATTAATATGACCCATGCTTGTCTCTGGGTATGGAACAAGGACAAAGGTGATCGTTCCCTTAAGAAATTTGTAGTTTTTCAAGGAAAAAAAGACTTGCTTAATATAGTATAAAATCACTCATAAAGTCAAGGTAAGAGGTGAAGCCAACCAGTCTCTGCTTAAAATAGAATTTAATTCTCAATTGCAGAATTTTCTTTTATATGGGCAGTTTTTTTAAAAAAAAATTCAAGACTGTTCCATATCCCTGGAGTACCCTTCAGCTCATCTGTATCTTTCTGAAGACTGTGACTAGCTGCTAAGTGTCTGTCTAAGGATGTCTGGGTATGGGACACAAATCTGATGTTGAGTCTGGATGGCAGTTTGTCTTCTTTACTCAGTGAGGAGTCATTTTGTTCCCTCCAGGTCCTGGTGGTGATCTCAGAATGCTTCTATGTGCCACTTCCAAGAGTTTCATCTGAACGCTCTGGTAAGTCGGAGTAGTTCACATGGGTGAAGTTTTTAGAGTTTTGTGGTATTCTGTCTGTGACTCTACATTTGGTTCTAACATCTAATCACTGAGCATTCAATTACCTCTATTGAGTTCCTTAAAGATGTCTTCTCCATATAAATTTGAATAAAATTTACTTTCCTTTTTTAAAAATTAAAAAATACTTCCTATTGAAGATTGCATTTTCCTCTTGGGCTTACTCCCCTCATTTTTCAGTGGACAACTTTTATTCTTGAGTTGGAGTGAAGGTTTCTACGAGGAACTCATATTTATTGAGTCTGTAAGGTAGCTTGTCACTGTCTCAAGTTCGTTAAGAGCATTTTGCTCAAATCTGCATGTATTCACTTTACTTCTGGGCCTAATTGGCTCTGAAGTTGATGGCCTCTATTTGTAGTGTTGCATTTTCTCAAGAGCTTAAATAAGACAATGTCTTTAGTTCTTAAAAATTTTAAGATTTCGTAGATAGCTAAGTAACATGTCGGACCTTCAACATTGTGGAGTGTGAAAGGGAGCCAGTGTATAAACTGCTGCAGGTTTCTCTGGGTGCAAGCCCAGCCCAAGTGATGTTACAGTGCTGAAGTTCATTCAATAGCTATCACTATTCCTAACTCCTATTTTATCGCTTTAACTTTGTGGTAAGAGGAGGCCTTTTCTTCCTGACTTTGGCCTCAAACTCTTGGGCAGCAGGACTCTGCTTGGTTCAGCTTGTCTGAAATAGTTGCTGTGACCAGTGAGTTGCTGAGATTTTTACACTGAATGTAATACATAGCACAAACAAAATTTTGCACTCTATTCCTGTCTGCTCTGCCATCAAGTCAGTGATGCTCCTGTAGGGAGATAGTAAATCTCTAATGGGGCTAAGCTGCAACCAGAAAACCTGATCACATGATGCCAACACATCGAAGGAGAAACCTCCTCAGTTTATCCACCTCATGGTTAAATTGTGAGTTAGTTACTAAATTGCCATGGTTTATCCAGAGTGAATTTTTCGCCCTCTGTTTCTCTTCTGTCCATAGAGCAGGATCAGAGGCCGGAGGATGTTCATGGAGCTGAACAGCTACAGGATGCAGAAGAAGAAAAGGATGACTCAAATGAAGAAGAAAACAAAGACAGTCTTGTGGATGATGAGGAAGAGAAAGAGGACCTTGGAGATGAGGATGAAGTAGAGGAATATGAGGAAGAGGACAACCAGTCAGGCATCAAGGATGAGGAAAGAAGTGATGCCAATGACCAAGAAGTACTGCAGGAAGGCAGTGTGTCCCAGAAGGAACGTGAACCTGATGAAGCTCATTCAGTGGACACGCAGGAGGTGGTGGAAGACTCATTGAGGCAGCGCAAGAGTCAGCATGCAAACAAGGGACCATAGATTTCATGTTGCTATTTCTAAAAATATAGGCAAGAAAAATAAGTCTACTTCCCTCTGGTCTGCAGTTTAAGCTAAATCCTTAGTTTGTATTTAGTTTTTAAATTTTTTTTCCTGAATGAACAGTGTTTACTCTTAAAAGATGATCTCTGGTCCTGTGGTCACATGGTAGTAAGCCTCTGTGTCCTAAAGAGAGTCAGGAACAGCACTCAGCCACCATGGTGTAAGGATCTTTGCAGGGATTTAGGTGGAGAACAAGTTGATATACTTGGGGCCAAAGAATCAACCAGAGAACTTTTCTCCAGTCCTTCATAGCACCTTTAGAAATGAGGCTGATGACCTAAATAAAATGAGAGCAAAATCATATTGGTCCTGAACACCCTGGAAGTACAGGAAGAATCTTCATTGTTAAGCATTGCTTTTGTCATGTAAGAAACATTGGGTACCACGGTCCCCCAAACACTTTCTAGGGCCAGAAATTCTAAAGACCTGGGTATAGATACAACTTCAGAAAGATGCTGGGGAGTCATCTGAGCTCCCTTGGTTTCTGTTGTCTTTTCTTTCCTATGTTTAATTCCTGTGACTTCTCCACTATGGGACTGAAGATTACCACATGTTTCATAACTGCTCTGTAGTGAGAGCAGATAACAGGAGTCTGGATCCATTACTCTCATTTGACTTAAAGCTGTAGGTAATCAGTAATCACTGCTGATGACGCTTGGACTGCCAAGTATCTCAAAGACATGTAATCTTTGGAAATTCAAAAGGTAGTAGGGGTTTCATAGGGCCGGTACGGACAAACAACTGGTTTTGGCCAGCCTGTAATACTTACAGGATAACTTCTTCAAGAGTTCCTTTAGCCACATTCTTTGTTTTTCTGAACCCCAAAGTGTGCCGACTTCAGGTTTAGTTTCCATCTCAAGGGGTTCCTGCCTCAAGAACCACTTTAATAATAACTGACAAACATGTCTACTTTTCTTTCAGTGATGTGCTTTTGGTGAAAAAAATTTATGAAAGTCAATTTCAGGAGATGAAAGATTTGATTTTGTTTCTGTCTTACTTAATCCTCTAGAGAATTGTATCATTATCTCTCCTTACTCAATCTGGTATCAGTATCAAGCATCTTAAAAAAAAATCTTTCCAACTCCTCTCTTACCCTTTCAGGTCTTAGAATAAATTCATAAAGTCAAATTCTAGATCTATGAAATATGCCTAAAGTCAATCTTCTATGTAACCCTTGGATTGAGTCTGTCATGTTTAAAAAACGTTATGTAGTTTTCTCTGTATTAGCTGCCAACAGGAGGTTCACAGGTGATGGGGTTCAGAATCTGCCTTCCTGTACTATATGAGGCTGCTACAAACCTTGCACAAAGGAAGATTTTCTTGTGACAATCCATTCTTTATAAATGTTTTTATTTCATCTTTGTAACGTAGTTAATTGTTCACTCAAGGCTGAGGCCATCATAGAACAAAGGAAAAGGTCACCTTCCTGCCCTTCCATGTTCCTGTCCTCTGACACGTCTTTACTCAAAAGACCCATGGTTCTGTGGTGGCCTTTATCTTCCTGCTAGAGCTAAGATGTTTCTTCTCTCCTGCCAGTGGATTTCTTCTCTTGTTATAGTAAACCGAGATCAGAGTGGTGGGAAAGGGAAGACTCTGTGTCTCTGTTCTGAGTAATACCCTTCCTGCAAACTGACGTTCTGGCTTTTAATGGGATGTTTAACTAGAGGGAAGGCTTGAGAATTAGTCTGCCTTGGCTTTTAGAAATTTTTCAAAGCCAGTTTCCAATTAGATCAAAGAGTACTTAATTGTACAATGAGATTATACATTTCCTTTCTTAAAAATACTTAAGATAAGTAGGAAGGTAGGAGAAAAAAGTCATGAAGAAGGTCCAGTCCAGTAAAATTATATTTATCTGTAGGAATTATTTTCCCTAGCCTTTCCTTTTTTAACATCCTGGCAAAAAATTGGGTTTCTAATAAATAGTCTAGAAAGTACTTACTAATTTAATTTCTTTCCATTTGAAGCCTTTAGGTTTATTTTCAATACTTATTTGATATAAAATTAAAGGAGAAAATTCAACTTAAAATTAGATCAATGTTTAATATGCTTTATTTTTGTCTACATAATAATTTAATCCAGAAGTTAAGTGCATGGAAAAATGATTTTATATATATATATAAAAAACTAACTATGCTTCTCCTCCACTGCCATATCTGCTATTTAATTGTAGAATACTAGTTTATGTTAAAGTTGGTTAAATGAGATAGTAACTGTGGGGTAAGGGTGTGCAGTGCTTTATGTACAGATAGTTAGGATAAGGTGCGTTGTTCTTTATTGAAATGTCTGAAAACTCCACTTACCTCTCTTTTTTTTTTTAAAATTTCTGTTACTGTTCATTTCTTTTTCTGTGCTGAACCATGCCAGCTTGCTTAGAATCTCATGGAGGCAGTACACAGGAAATTTCACTTTTTTGTTGTCTTTATTGTTTTGTTTTGAAGGATAATCATGGAGCAGATAAGGGGTGGCTCATTTGCTTCCCAGCCATTGAACTGCACGGCAGTCACTACAGTCTCGTCTTGTAGTAGGGTCTGTACTAGTTATCTAATAACTAGTGCAGTAGAGGGGAAAGAAGCTTGAGACAGATCAGCTTGGACATTTGAGAAAGCCACACGTTTACTTTTTAGGTGCAAACCCGTGACTTATAATTAAGACATTGTCACATAGTTTGAGTGTGCATAAGCTTGAGTAAGTATATCTTGTAACATCTTTTGGGTAGGTAATTAAAATGCTAGTTAAAGGCATATCTACTGTGTGACATTTTGCAAGATGAGAAACAATAGAGTCTAAAGGAAAATTTAAAAGGATTAAAAGGGGTGAATGTTATTTCAGCATAAAATCCTAAGCCTCAAGTGAGAGAAAGAAGGGGAGATGGGTACTTTTGCTGGTGTTTGCAGGTTTTCTGTGTTCTTCTTTTTAGTGTCCTGCTGTTATTTCTGCCAGTATTGTATTTGTGCAATTGACTAGCTGTCAGATCTGCCAACTGTTTGGAAAGTATTTGTGTAAATATTTGTGCCAACAGAGACTCTCGCAGTATTGTGTCTCATTACCTCATTCTGGGATATGATCCTCTTGAGATTGTAGCTTGTCTGATAGAAGCCAAGGTTGAGTCTGATGAAACCTGCTGGATAAGTTCTTTGAGCAGCTACTCAAAGCAGGAGGTTCAACTGAGAAAAACCTTGGTCAGCTTCAGCCTAGCACATGGACCTCACAGGCATATTCTCTAAAGTTGTGTAGACTGTGATTCTGTTTACATGTGACTATGACTTGTTTCTAATGTGGTTGAATTTTGTTTCTAGACAGCTTTGTAGAAATGCAGTTTTTATACTAAAACTGTTCATTTGTAAGTCTGTACATTATAAAATGTCTGTGTTTATTCTTTGTATTAATTTTGATTATTTATCCCACTGTATTTATTTTACTTTATGTATTCTGTGCTCTCTCAAATAGATGTGTAGCAACTGAAATAAGAAATCAGTGTATTGTTTCAAGTACTGCATTGCCTGTGTTACAAATCCTTTGATCAGGGGATTGTAAATAACCTTGAGCCTACATACTGCCTTTTTATTGTCAAGTTCCATTTTTGTCAAAATTTAATTAATGGTAGTGATGACCAATGAAACAGAATGGTGTATTGCTTTTTCATATAAATATTTTCACACAAAAAGTATTTGTGGAGGCAGTTGAAAATATTACTTTGTTAAAAAAATAATTTTCTGTGTTTATTCTTTGACTTCATTTTCCACCTCCTTTACCTGAACTTGGTGAAATCTCTGCCATGTGCTCAAGGTTAATGCCAAAGATGTGAGGGCTTCTCAACACATCACAGTCTTCATATTGTCTGGAAAGTCTCAGGGTACTTGCTATGGCCAGGGCTGGCATTTATTAAGTGACTGCTGTTCCTCCAAGATGCTGGCCTTCCTGGTCTCCTAGGATTTATAGAAGACTCTTCTTTCAACTTACCTGTTCCCAGCACTGCAACAATCAGAAGCACAGAGGCGTAAAGGTGAGTGGCTACTTTGAACGTCCTCACATACTGATGGAGATTTGATTTGTCCCTTTTGGAAGATAGCAGTGAGCTGTTCCTGCAGATGATGGGTGTGTGGGGCGGTTACTTAAGTTTATATTTTTTCAGTCTCTACCAAAGTATAGTTCAGAAATCTGTCCCTGTGTGGATGAACCTTAGTGAAAGTTCTTCACTAATTTACTCCTCAGGTAGAATTTGGCCCTGCTTCTCTTTTGTCATGAATAAGTGATAGCCAAGCAGTTTCTTGCTCATCTTTCCAAAAATATCTTCTCCCAATTCAGTGACTTTGATGTCGGTGTCTAGCCTCAATGAGTTTGTCCATTCCAGGGTAGGGGTGTGTGGATTAGAGATGTTAGGCAGAAGAGACAGAGATACAAAAGAGATACAGAGACATAAGAGAGTACTGGGAAGGCAACTCAGTGACTCCTGAATGCTGAATACCCTTGCCGTTATTTTCCATATGTTTATATAACCTGATCCAAAAAGGAGGGAAGAAGGCAAAAGACTGCTTTCACGTGACACAAAGGAGAAACAGAGCAGTTACTTGCTTCAATACTTGAGACATCAAGCCGCTATTTCCTGAGTTAAGCATTCTGCTATTTTAGGCAGGACGTTCAGTGACAACATCTTAGACCAAGAATCCTGTAGGCAGCCACTCCCTGGGTCAAACCTTTGGTCTTGAAAATGAAGAAGCAGGACTAGACTTGAATTCTCTGGCCTTTGCTCAAGGTGGAATGGATCTACCTCTACGGGCCATCTTAATATCCAAAACACCAAGTAACCACATCCTAGGTCAGGATATCTTGTTTGTAGCCTCTCTTTAACTCAGACTTATTGTCAATAACTTTGAAAGAGCAAGAGTAGACTTAAGCTCTCTGACCTTCAGTCAAGGTGGAGCAGACCCACTTCTGGGGCTCCCACACTTTGATACTTGGTAATTTATAGATTTCATGTGTATAGTAAGTGGTATTCTGCTTAATCCTGGGAATTGAAAAGTCTTTTACCATCAGAAAGTAGAGTGTTTCTGATACAAATAATTTGGGAGTAGTTTAATAGAAATAATTTTTAGATATGAGTCTCTAAGGTAATGTGTAGTAAGCAGTGTGGTAGAACAGAAAATCGGAAGATACTACAAATACTACAACTTCTGGCTACAGTATGACTACTATGACTGCTAATTTTAAGGGCTGAGTTGAGCTTAGAAGATTAATTAACTTAAAACATGAGACAAGTAAAGGAATTCTTAGGTCTGTCTTGGTGGTGGTGGTGAAGAGGCCACTTCCTCTGGAAGCTACTGACTACATGATTTGGTTCTTGACTGTCACAGGTGGGAATGAACTGAAGTAACTGGAAGTTCTCATCTCCATCCTTGACAAAATAAAACTCATCAGTACATGAAAGCCAAGAAAGCTTCTCTCTTGGACAGGTCTCTGTGCAGACAAAAAAGTCCCCTAAAATCATAGACATGAACCTGGCTTTAAATAAGTTGGTGTTTGAATTCACACTAGCTTCTTACACTTAAAAACCAAAACACGAAGCCGAACATTTCTCATATGAAGTTTTGTAATCTGCTGGCCTGGTCTGTCACCTGGGTACCTTGTTCCTTTAAGAGACAAGCCCTGCCCACTCCAACATCCTCTCCCCCTTGAATCCTTGGATCTCCAGCATCCTCTCCAACCTGCTCTTTCTGTGTTCCTCTTCTGAAGAGGTAACTACTGCCTCTCTCTCCCCCACTCCCATCTATCCCCCCACTGCCCTTCTTCTCTTCCCCCTCTCCCCTTTCCCATCCATAACCCACTAAATAAACTCTATACTCAAACTCTCTCTGCATGGCGTATCTGTCTCCCACCAAGGCCTCAGGTGGCCTGCCACTGCCTTTTGTATGACCACCGCCCCTTGGCTTTGGGTCATCACCCCTTTTGTTCATAAATAATAACATGAAGGCTAATGGGGCAGAAGGAGGAGGGTGTACTGGCAAAAACAGTTTAAGAAAATTGCTCTTGAAAATATCTTCAACGTGGCTTAAAAAAATCATTGAACTCAGTCTGAATTACAGTCACATAAGGAAGCTATTCAACAGACAACAGGTGTGAAGTCCAGGATCTGAAGCCAGGAGAGTAAGAGGGACATTGGAGGGTGGGGTTTGAAGAAGATGGGAGGGGGTAGATGCAGGCAGAGGAGATATACTATGGACACAGATTGCTAGTCAGGCAGGTTTTGACAGGCATACACTTGTACACGTGAACCTCACACATGGCATGGGCACATGTATAGTTCAGCACATAGTTTGTGGGTGGTCTCACAGGCCTCTACAGACTAGCAGGAAAAGGCAAGTGGTGAGGGCACTTGACCCTGCTCAAGGGCATATTTCTACAAAATACAAAGTGGCCTTCTTCCAGGAATATAACATTACATCTTTGCTGCATGTTGTTGAATGCCCAATGTCGACTATCATTTGCTTATAGTACCCTGAATGTCTGGGGTCATCCATGTTTTAACTGACTCAAACCAGATACCCACATTAACACTGTGTTATCGAAATCCTGATTGCTCCAGACTGCCTTCTGTTCCCTACAGTAGGCTTAGATCACCTCAATCCTTGAGATAATAAAATCCTTAAAACATTTTTAAAAAGTTTAAAAACAAAAGGGATTGTTATAAAACAATATAATACTATATTTAAGGTTCACCTCTGTCAAAAAGATTGAGGTTCAGTATGCCATTTCATTATACTAATGCATCACACACAATACATTCTGCACTTGGGCAATTTAGAGGGTTTCAACTTAGATGCTCCTTTTTGACCGTTTATTCTCCAGAATATTTTGCAATAACATTTGGGTTTATGTAACTTAGTCATATGTTAGTAGTGAGTGAATGTTAGCAATCTACCCCTTAGGACTTTCTAAGTGCTGATTTTGAAACAGTGGAAAGCAGCGTTATTACACAACAGCCACTGAGCAGCCTCTTGCTGCTGGGTCCTGGTATCACTCCATTCCAGAGATGCAAACCTTCAGCAAGTGACCCACATTCCATGGATCTCTCTTCACTATGGGGATAACAGGAGAGAACTTTCAGCAGTGAAGACAAGTCAAGGAGCTGTTCTATATGTAGCATGCATGTAATTAATGTTTTATGGCAAGGTTTTCTAAGGTATCACTTCAAGATGTGGGAGTGATCCTGGGGATGGATCAGGGCATATTGAGAAACAGCAATGTTTTTTAGAGCTGCCTCTGTGGAGTCAGGTTGGCTAAAGGTGGAAGGGCTTGTGAAATCCCAGCCTGTTTCAGAAACACCTCACTTTAGCCATGAGGATAAGCATTAGCAGACATGACACAGAGATAGAACTAAACCTTTGTCTACCTTCTGAAATCTGAAATGACTCTAGAAGCAGGTATAAATGCGGAGGAAGTTTACAAGGCACACTTGGACTCCTAGGTGGAATGTTAGTTCTTTCTAAAATTCTGTTGAGAAATAGTCTGCCATGGTTTATTTAAATACTGAAGACCCTGTAATAATCCCCCTAACTGAGTGGATTGCTGCTTTCAAAGCACTGGAGTCTAGCAATCATTCATTTCTACATTACTTCCATTCTTTCTTAGTTCACAAAGCTACCACTTCCAAAAGGCAGTGGGCGCCCTCCTTCATCTTTGATTCTGTCCCTGGGAACTCTCTTCAGGTGCCTTTTCCCATATCTCTTTTACTTCTACTCACTTTTACTCCTTTTGGAAAGACTTTATTCCTGCCTCTAGGGTTTTCACTGTGCAACTGAGCCTTGGAGCTTTAGGCAAGTGGAAAATTGCCACCAGCACAACCAGAGTTCTTAATCAGGAGAGGAGGTAGATGGGAGGCTGTGCATAGCATCATGGATGGAAATTGTGCAGGCGCATGGCTACATTTTCCATTTTCTGCCTGCCAACTTCTCAATCCAGGTACTGGACTCAGCCACCATCATCAAAACGAATCATTCTCTTCACAGACAATGGAGTAGAGAATGGAAAAGCTCCTAGAAGGCCAGGCTCTACTGCCTGTTTCTGCTTCCCCACAATACGCACTCCTCCAGCTTCAAGAGTCTCTTCCCCAGAAGAAGCAGTGCACTACTCACTAGGTGCTTCCATCCTTCCGGGTTTAGCCAGTCAGCTGGTGTTTCCCATATGAACTCACCGCTGCTGAGTTCTAGGTCTGAGAGACTAAAACCAAAACTGTTGGATACTGGGTTGTCCTCTGGCTGTTCTCAGTCTCAATGTCTCTGTCTTTGTCTCTGTCTTTCTGTCTCTCTCACACACACACGAGAACAGTATATTTTCTTAAAAATCAATTAATACAGAAGGTGTCTCAAAATTTCAAAATTAATATTCAGTTTGTAGCTTTGTGGGGAAATTTTTCTTTTAAAGGCAATCATATTATATTCTAAGACTATGATTTTTGAAATTGGAACCCATTGCACTTGAGACATCCTCATTGTTCTACAGGTCTGACTTTCACACCAAATAGGCACTATTGACTTAGGGGAAATGTTAATGTGAGGCACATTGGGTATCAACATAAATCTAAAGACAGGCTTATTACTAGATTATAACTGCATCCAAATTACTATGTGATCTAATCTTTTCAGCCAGCCAGCCCTAGAAATATAATTAACTTTATCCCTGGAATAAATACTAACAGAGTCTAATTTGTTATCC